TGGCTTGCTTAGTATCCCAACACTGCCCAGCCTGGAGCCCCCTCCCCGAGCCAGTGTCCCCTTCTCCACCTCCTCCTGCATCCATATTTCCTCCCAGAGCTTGCACCTCTCACCCCTTCCCACACCCAAATCCCTCATTCCCATCCTAGAGACTACACATCCTGTCTCAACACAGCAAGGATCCAGCTAGACTGCAGGAGTTTTTCCGGATTCTGGAGATATCCCGGAAAAACTCTTCTGCATCCAGGGTTGCGTTTGTTCTTCCGCTTTTTTAATGGAAGAGCAAACAGGCTCTTTTGGCCACCCCTATTTTCCTCTTTCCACAAGGAATAAGGGGGCTTCCAAAAGAAGGGTTTTTTTTCTGACATTTGGTCCAGTGTAAACAGGCCAAATGTTGGAAAAATCTCTTCCTACAGAAAAATAAATAAATAAGCAGCAATATAAGGATTGGGGATAGCAAGTAATGGAGAGGAGGAGAATAGAGAGGGCGGGGCTTCAAGGAAAGGGCGGGGCGGGGGATCTTGGCTTGGTCTGTCATTTAAAAAGTGATCTTTGGTGTAAAAAGGTTGGAGACCACTGGACTAGTAGCACCTTAAAAACTAACAAAATGTAGATATCATCATGCGCTTTCATGGGCACAACCCACTTCTTCAGATGACCGCAGTATTAAGGGGGTTGCACCCACGAAAGCACATGATCCCATCTACATGTTTTGTTAGTCTTTAAGATGCTACTAATCTCTGGGTTGTTTTTGAAGTTTTTCCCATCAATCTTACGATCATGCCCTCTCTCGGGTAGCTAGCTGCTGGTCCTCCACCTTGCCAGAGGGAGGAGCACAGAGCGAGTAGCCCCAGGCACGCGCTGTCACCTGGCTGCAAGGGGAAGAAAACGCAGCGTTTTGAGTTCAACAAGTCCAGCACTTCCTCTGGGCCGCGGGCAGGCCCAGGCTGCTCGAGGGGGTGGTTTGCCATGGGGGGAGGCAGGTGCTGGGGCTCCGGTGGGCCGATCCAGAAGGGAAGCAGCCAGGATCCCTTTCTCTCCAAGC